TTTATCTTGGGGCTCTGATTTCAAATAATGGCGGATGCATCGACGAAATCAAAAGACGAATGGGCATCACAAGAACAGCAATGGACAAGATGCGAAAAATATGGAGGAATAAAGACATTACTAAAGCCACGAGGACCAGGCTTGTGAGGACGCTTATATTCCCCATATTTCTCTACGCGGCTGAAACGTGGACTTTACGAGATGTGGAAAGGCAGAAGGTGGACGCTCTAGAAATGTGGTGCTGGAGAAGAATGCTTGGGGTTTCGTGGACCGAGTTTCGCACGAACGTCTCGATACTTCAAGAACTCGGTATCAAACAGCGTCTATTTTCTATAGTACAATCTCGCATTCTGACATTCTTCGGACATGTTTCCCTTCGTGACAACCAGTCTATAGAACGCCTTGTTGTCCAAGGAAAGGTGGAAGGCACTAGACCGCGCGGAAGGTCACCCACACGATGGACTGACCAGATCAAGGCAGCGGTTGGAGGCTCGCTGAACGAGTGCAGCCGGATGACCTCTAGCAGGCAGCAATGGAAAAACATCGTGAAACGGATCACATCTGCCCCCTCTAAGACTACGAGTACATAGCGATCACGACCGCTCTGTCAAGAGCGTACCGGATTAAAAGAAAGAAGTATCAGCATCCGAGCGAAGCCGGGGCGGGTCGCTAGTATGATGAAATGAACACGCCGGTCAATTCGTACCATGGCACTTAAAATATTCGTCGGCCATGTAGCAATAAATAGGGTCGGTCTCCATGACGTGTAATCGGAAATAAGCCGGAGACGGATGAAAGGGCTAATGGCCGCTGAAAAGCCGGTAAGCTTGACTTCTCGCTTCGTATCGTTTTGATTCCGTGATGCGGAGAAAAATAGTTTTAACGAAACGGTTCTGATGCCGCAAATGTGAAAGTGCTTTTCTATAAAATATTTAATATAAGAATCGTTCGAAATGTTTTGTCAAAGACTTTTGAAGCCAATTCAATACAAATTAAAATAGTATTTTTTATTATTCATATATTTCTTACTAATTCAATTGTAAAAAAAATAGAGCTACTTTGTAAAGAGGCATTTGAAAATACTTTTTAGATTGCAAGTTTATAATAATAATAATTTACTTGTCAGACCATAAATCCATACCTTAATTTAAAATAATTAATGAATTCTAATGTGCGTTATGACACAGGTGGGATTGGAACCTAAGACCCCAACAAACCGTGCTGTTGTTGCTCTATGAATTGAGGGCATGTACTGAATTGGCACTGAACGTAATGGAGTGTCAATCGTGTCATATTTTTTTCAACACTCTGTGCATAAAATAAAAGTACAGCGTACTACAAAATTACTTATCTACTTTTATTATTTGTGTATGAAAAAGAGAAACAAGAAAAGAGTAAAAGACAACAATGAATGCAAACAGATAAAGAAGAATCTTTAATATAATTTATTCTCATAAAGAACATATAAATATTATTAAGAGAAAAATGCTAGACTCAAAGGTAGTGATGGTTAAACACAAGTTTCGGCTTGTGTTCAGCTTCTCAGTAATCATTAGTTCATATCTCGTTCATCCTACATCGTGTTTTAATAACGCGAACCAATTTCGCGTTAACTCGACTAAAACACAAATATTACGACAAGGATCTGAATTATTTGAGCAATAGTTTGGTAGGGCATTCAGACATTATGTGTGGGAGTCTGTAATATGTTTTCGTCTGAAGTAATAACTATTTCAACTAAATTAATCGCCGACGTACTAACAGTGTACATGTAGTCTGAGAGACGAGCACGAAACCGAATACACCGACGCGGTCTACTTTATTACTGTGTTACAAATATAGAAAAAAACAATTTGAATTTCAATGAAGATAATTGAATATATATATATTTATTTTTTTATTTTATTTAATGCGTACTAATATTATAAATGCGAAAGTAACTCTGTCTGTCTGTCTGTCTGGTACTCTTTCCACGCCAAAACTACCGAACGGATTTGAATGAAATTTGGTACACAGATGGTTTAGAGGCTACTTTTTATTGCGAAAAGGGGGTTGTAAGAGGTTAAAAAAGAGGGGATGAAAGTTTATATGGAAATTCGTGGTTCTTGAAGCTAGAACAATGAAACTTTCTTCTTTGGCTGTTTGGAAATAGGAGTGGGAGTGGGATTGGGGGTGGGAATGACTGTGGGAGTTAGAGTAGGAGTGAAGTGAGGTGAGTGAGGTGAAGTGAGGTGTTGCGGCAGCACTTACAACATAGATTGGCTGCGATAAATGAGTACTTACATAAATTAATAAACAGCCTAAATAATTAAAAACTCTCGCTCTAACTCACTATTCCACGCGAACGAAGTCGCGGGCACAGCTGGTTTAAAATAAATGTAATTTATTGTTGGTTTATTTAAATACCGATTAATTCACGAAGTATGCAAGTTAAGGTTTTAACACATTAAACTTTGAAATATCCTTGTTTTCTCTTTACTTATGCACTTTATTCTTAAGGATTTAAGTAATTCTCGAAGGGACGTGGACGATATCGCGGTCGCCGCTAGTAATACATAAATTTAAAATAATATTAAGCCGGACTACATTAGGCATTTTGCAAGGTGAGATTTTTTTCTCGTTCCGTCATCACGGTAATCATTGTCAGGGGATGTTAAACCTCGACTAAGAGGAGACAGCATTACCAGATTGAAATGTTGCTAACTCACTTACGATGGACTCGTAATCCCACTTAACACATGTAATAGGTGCTTTTATACACGAATCATAATCGTTGTTCAAAGCCACGAGTTATAAATTTGAATACGTGAAGTTATAACGTTTGGTGTTAATAAACGTGAAAACAATGAGTCGACACACATAGAGGAGATAAGTTGGAAGCACTCTTACAACAGTTTTCACCCGTCACTTAACTAGAACGTAGTTAAACTTCGCTTCAAACTACTCATAATGAATTTCTCTAGGCATGCGAAGTGTTGAATTGAATAGTTTTACGTTCAAACTTCACGTTTGCTACTAGAAACGATCTATGTTTGCGAATTATAGTTTAATTGAATCGTTGGTTAATCGTATGCTTATAAAGGTTTTTTGAGAAGAAAAATATTTTCGATCAAACGTCCCCCCGCGGCTGCAGCATAGCACCTAAAACGTCAAACCGCAGTTAAAATCAATTGTAAATAAGTAAAGTTATATATTTCGTGCGTTTACCCCGTTAAGTGTTTTATTCAAATGTGTACCACTCACGTCAACTACAGACAAATATTTCAAGAGTAATCTTTACTAAATATAACTTCGCCGACGATGTTTTAGCATAGCTCCTAGACTAGGAGCGTTAAGGAGGTTTGAAGTGTCACGCCAGGTCGTGGAGTAAGTTTATGCGTTCTCCAGCAAAGTAATGTTCGGTAAATTACAACGAACACTACGAACGCAAACACGAAACTTCAACGGTTATTGCGAAATTCGTTTTATTAAAGAGATAGTGTAATCACGTTTCCCGCGTGCGTACACATTTTTGTGTCCATTTCACTGAGCGGTTTTGTTAAACGACAACTAGTTTATCAGATTTATGTGCTCTGTATGATCGATTGTTTCTCGCGATTAACGCGATGCTGGCAACATTTTTATTGGTGCTGGGAGTATTTGGAGTCGTACAAACGTGTTCCCAGGGCTCCCTCAAGCACCGTAGAGGGCTGATGGTGTGTTTTGTGGTTCTAGTCGGCACGTCACACTTACCCGAAGTGGGCGTGCATTAGGCATTCACAGCATTAGTTTAAAAAAGAACACTTTTATCAATTTACCTACAAAGTACTGTCGGTAGTTTTCAGTTTAAGTTTAACAGTTTAAGGAGAAATGTATTACTTAAATGATTTTAAACTACTAGCTGTTGTTACATGGCCTGTTTAATTAAAAGTAACTTAATTTTAAAATCATATTATATATATTTTATCTCTTGCTGTGTGCTAAGAACTATAGATAGCGGTTAAGCTTCATGATAATTCAAAACAGTTACTTTCTAGTTTGAGGGTAAATGCTTGATTAGTGAGAATATATTTTGCTTAACTTTATTTTTTATAAAAATATGTTTATAAAAGTCCCCGTTGACGCTGATAGATTCGCAGGTAAAAACTAATATAAATAAATAATTAGGTACTAAGTAACATTTCTCCATTATTTTTTCAGTAGCCCATTTATAAGACTCTTATTAACCTGAGTACAGATCATGATAGTTTCATTAATCATGTGTGCTCAGCGCTCGTATCGGTAAAATGTTTACCTGCTGGCGTCAACACAATAAACATTGCGTGGTATCCGATATAATGTAGGGCCAAGTATTATAGTGTTAGGATAGGGCGTCGGGTTCTATGTCAAACCAGCATGAAGTTCACTTGATGGGCTGTGAAATACAACAACTATATAACATCTAAACGCTTCTCATCTAAAAATCGATGCGCTGTCGGCCTATTATAGCTGAGGACATTTGAAAATTCACAGACATAATAATAACGCGATTAAACTTTTCAGCTTTTCCATTTGCGGACGGTGGGTGGACGAAATTTTGCTATCATTACTACTCAATTCATATCATGATGATTGAAATACGAAAGCAAAAGAGTATTGAGATTGTTGTTAGATAGGTTAGGTCCCCCGTAGTAAGCTAAGTTCCACCATGAAAGCTGCTGCGAAACATCTAAAGCGTCCGTGTCCGTGTCCGTATAAATAGTAAATGAGTTAACGAATTTATTTCGCGTTTTAAGCCGTTAGAAGTATTTTATTTTAAATTGTATCTACATGAGTGAAGCTACTGAAAGCGATAATATTCAATGCAAGTAATATTAACTGTTTGTACTTTGTACTTGTAGTGTGTTATGTACAATTAATTTTAAATACATGTACTATGCAAAATTGTATGTATTTAAAGCCATATATCAGTTTACTTTGCGACATCTTTACGAGAGGACGCGCCCAATAAGCTTTAAAAGTTATATATACCCGCATCGAAAATGGTTGCAAAAAAGTGTGTAAAATGTAAAAAAAACATTACCAAAAAAGTGCCAGGTCTAGAGTGCAGTAGGTGTGAGGTTATAATACATGCCGATCCTGCTTGTTCAAAGCTATCGAACAAACAACTGAACACCCTTAAAAACGTACCCGGCATAGAATGGAGCTGCGACGAATGCCTCAAGAATATTTCTCGAAGGTCATCGTTCGTGATTCCTGAAGATGATGGTGATGACGAGGATTACGAACCTGGAAGCTCAGGAGGTATCCAAGCTATTGATGCCAAAAAGCTAGTGCAGGATATCAGTCGCGAAGTGAAAAAAACCTTTCGAGAGGAGATCGGCAATCTCGAGAACTCGCTTGACTACCTAAGTGAGCAACTTACTACTCTAGAGCAGTCTATAAACAAACAGGACAGTAGAATTAAAGAGCTTGAAAATAAAAATCATGACCTATACAACAAAAATAAGAATCTCGAGCTCCGCGTTACTGTCTTAGAACAGGGCCTTAAAGATTTTGAACAAAAATCTCTCTCAAACTCTCTGGAAATTGCTGGATTACCGGATATTATGCCTAACAACGTACACGCAACTATAGAAGCTCTTGTGTCTAAATTAGACGTGGAAAACAAAGACATACAGTTTGCGCAACGGCTGCCAGGGTCAAAGGACAAACCGGGACCAATTCTCGTGGAGTTAAGATCTAAGATCCTACAGCAACAATGGATCGACGCTAGTAGAAATAAGTGTGTTACAGTAGGTATGGTTGTATCGGATGCACCTAAAGAAAAGGCTGACGAGCGCTTTTTTGTCAGAGAAGCCCTAACAAAGCACCAAAAAACACTCTTATTTAACGCCAAGACCCAGTTATTGAATAAATCATGTCAATACGTGTGGTGCAAAAATGGGAAGGTATGTGCACGAAAAACTGGAAACAGTAAAATCTTTTATATTCGTACTATGCATGATATAAATCAAATAGTTAAACAAAACTCAAACAACTCAAATAGTTTACCCGGGAAATCATCGGCCATATCGTAAAATGTTTACTTTAATATATTTTAATAAATTCTACTTTTCCAACAAAATGGATACAGAAATAAAAGAATTTTTTAATTGTAGTTCTCCTAACCAATTTTTCCAGCATTTACCTCCCAAATGTTTAATGAATATTTCATGTCTACACTTCAATATTAGGTCAATTATAAAAAACTTTACCAAACTACAACAAATTATCCATAATTGTACCTACCCCCTAGATGTAATAGTTGTTACGGAGGCCGGTATCTCAAACAATATTGTTCATTTGTATAAATTACCGGGTTATAACTTGTACTCACAATTACGGCAGGGCAAGAAGGGAGGTGGTATTATGATCTACGTACGAAACCATTTAAGATTCACATTAGTTCAACAAAAAACAAATACATTTGAAAGTCTATCCGGAATAATCAAAATTAATTCGAGTCCAAATGTAATTGTGTGCGCAATTTATAGACCTCCATCTACAAATAAAAACCTGTTTGTTAACGAGCTTAGTAAGTATATCACTAAGTTTGAACTGAAACACAACTTGATTCTAATTGGTGATACTAACATAGATCTGAAAACTTCAAATTCATACAAGGACTCATATTTAGAAGCACTTAGTGAGCGCGGATTAATGTGTGGAATATCGGACTACACACGAATTGAAACTAGGAAGGGTATTATCACCAAATCTTGCTTAGATCACATTTTTGCCCGATTCCCCACATTGCATCCGTTCTCCGCGGTGCTCGATGTCGCACTGGCCGATCATCGAGGTGTAATTTTTGCGTGCGTTAACGACGTACCGCTGACGCCCGAGCTTATACAGGGTGAAACAAAAAAAATGGTTGATTATGGGGTTTTTTATAAGGAACTTAAAAATATGGATTGGTCAAAGTATAGAGATATAAATTCTCCAGATGAGGTTTTAAATTTTATAAGCAATTCCTTTCAGACAGCAAAAACATCTGCAACAAATATTAGTACTTGTAAATTACCCAGAATGAATTTTAAACGCTTTAATATGCCGTGGATAGATGATAATGTTACTCGACTTTGCGATAAAAGAAATAAATTATACCGTGAGTGGACAAATCGCCCAGAAAACTGTAAGCTCAAGTTAGAATATAATAAATTGCGCAATAAAGTGCATAAAGTCCTTGAAGCCAAAAGGAATGCATATTATTTGAAGCAAATAAAAAACAATTATAACAATATTAAAAAGGTATATTCTGTTTTAAACCAAATGTTAGGGAGAGTAACGTTGTCTATCGACGCGGCTATACTAAAGGCTTTTGATGCACAGGGTCTCACTTCCATAACCATTGCCAATAACCTCGCAAATAGCTTTGATAAATCGGTAAAAACCATTATTCCAAATTGTAGAATAAAATTATTTAATCAAAACAATACACGTAAATCTTTAGACGCTAGTATACTCTTTCAAAAAGCAACCCCTAGTAGTGTCAATAAAATCATTCAAAAATTAAATTCCAGAAAAGCACCAGGCACAGATAATATTGCAATTTCGGACATAAAACTAATAGGAGATTATGTTTCTCCAGCCATATCTCATTTAATTAATCGTAGTGTTACCACAGGGTTGTATCCGGATGCTTTAAAAATAGGCTGTGTAAGACCTATGCACAAGAAAGGTAAACGCGATGATTTCGATAACTATCGCCCAATCATTTTACTCTCCTCAATCGATAAAATTGTAGAAAAGTATGTGTGTAAGCAAATACATCGTTTCTATAAAAAACATGAAGTAATAAGCCCAAATCAATTTGGATTTTAATCAGGAAAGAGTACAGCGGGTCTCTTGTCTAAATTTACGGATGAAGTCAATTGTCACCTTAATGAAAAAAGGTACGTGTTGGCCTTATTTATCGATTTTTCGCGCGCTTTTGACACTTTAATGCACGACCAGCTGGTATATAGGCTTGATAAGTGTGGAGTTCGTGGCCCACTACTCAGATGGTGCCAAAACTATCTGACAAATCGTACATTCTCTGTAAAAGTGGATAACACCTACAGTCGGCCCATGCTTGTAACTGAAGGCACAGCACAAGGTTCGGTGTTAGGACCTCTTCATTTTCTGTCCTATGTCAACGACATGAGTGATTGCATTGCCAACAGCACATGCTATCAGTTTGCAGATGACACTTGCCTTGTTATCGGAGATAAAAATCCACAAACGGCCCTGGATCTTCTACAGTCTGATTTGGATGCACTAGCAAAATGGTGTCACGATGCCGGCCTTGTCATTAACACAAGCAAAACTAAATTATTAGTCATAAAATCGCCATATGTCAAACGCTTACCAATAAAAGATCTAGTGGCACACGGGCATACCTGCTTACACGCTGGCAGCACGGCTGTATGTTCCTGCCCAGGGATTGAGACAGTGGATAGACAAACATACCTTGGACTTGTTATTGACAGTAAATTTCATTGGAGTGACCATATTGAGCGTGTTTGTACCAAGCTTAGACAGTTTCTGGCAAATATCACCATCCTCAATAACCGTATCCCGTTTAAAGTTAAATTAATGCTGTATAACGCTCTTGCGGAGTCTCACATTCAATACGGCCTCAGTAGTTATGGGCGAAGTTACAATACATATCTCAACCTCATTCGTAACTTACAAGTAAGGATACTTAAAACTATAGTCCCTAACAAAATTAAAAAGCAATTCCAGGACGACCCTTGTGGGCTTTTTAAACACTGTAAAGTTTTACCAATACACATGCAAGTTCAATACACTTTACTTAAGGAAAATTTTTTTAATGAATCTTTACGTATCCCGATTGTTCACCCTGTATACACTCGAGCCATTAACAAAAACCGGTTGTGCACGTCGCGCGCAATAAACGCGTACGGTGAGCGCACAACCAGATACCTAATACCTCGGCTTATCAATAACCTGCCGTCCAATTTGGTAGGTAGTATAAACCAAAATAATTTCAAATGTAAGCTAAAGGATCATTTCCTTAAGTTATTTTAGCGTTATTGTTTTCTTCTCTTATTGCATGCTTAGACAAGATAGTAGATTGCTAGTTATCTTGTATATTTATTAAATAAACTTAGCTAATTAGATGTTAAGTAAACTCACGATGGCATCAGTTTAAACCTTAGTGGTTTTTTATTGCTATCAATATATAAATAAATGTATTGTTATGATGATATGATAAATAAAAAAAAAATAAAAAATATATAAATTATTATTGCAATAATAACTTAATTTTTTAGTTAAAGATAAAATTTTCGTATTATTTTGCATGTTTAAAATTGCGTGAGCGTCGTAGCGCAGCGTAGCGTGCCGTAGCGCTTGCTACGAGAAAGATGGACTATTTATTACAAAACGAAAAAAGCGTATTAAAATTTTTCATTATGATTATTTCTTAACAAGCGTTAACCTATGACATTTAATAATAAAAAGCAAATAATGGTATTATATAATTAAAAATCTATTTAGATTAAAAAAATATATAAGATATTTTATTGAAATAAATTTATCTAAATACTGTCTATAGTTTACGCGAGTAGTACACACTTAAATAAAACACTTTAATGGTTTAAAACGCCATATATTAGTTAAACTTATTTGAAAATGATGAATATGAAACGTCGGGCCGAAGTTAAAATCAATTTCAAATAAGTTTAACTAATATATCGCGTTTTAAACCGTTAAAGTGTTTTATTTAAACAAAATCTGTCTATTTTTTATATATAATGGAAGGAAAGAGCTACATAACCGCAAAATTATTGTTCAAAGTACGTTTTGTAATAATTTATTACTTTTGGCTCGATAAACAAATTTTTCGCACCACATTTCACTTTTAATTAAAGTTCCAATAGTTTCATTAATTCACAGCGGTTTGTTTAATTGTATTAGTTTCAATTGAATGTGATATCTATTATAATGATAGTAATTAAAATTTAAATAAAGGATCCCTGTTTTGGCTTAAAGACAATACGTAAGTATTGTCTTTATGCGAGTAGCACATATTTAATTGAAACATTTGTAACGGTTCTATACAAAAATATATTAGTTAAATAATTTTGTATTTCATGCTTAGTAGAAGTCGTGGTCACGGGGGATGGTATCTTTGGTGGGTGTCCATAATGTGTGTGTGAAATCCTATTTCACATCAGTTCTTTTTAACATGCAAGTAGTTGATCAGACTTCTGAGCCCTACCCGACCGGAACAACTTTTTTGTTCCCCTGGGATTCGAACCCAGGACCTCTCGCGCATAACGCAATGCTAGGCGATACGTTTAACCATTTGGCTACAGAGGCGGTCGTCCGTAATGTAGTCGTAGATAAAATAAGTTTAATAATTTTGCGCTTGAAAAGGACAGAAGTATTATATTTATGTATGGATTTTTCTACTAACATTATTAAGTTACATTACATTTTATAACACAAAGTGACAGATATAAATTCTACACTTATATATATATATATATATATATATATATATATATATATATATAGCCTACATAAAACTACTGTCTCAATAGAGATTTTATCGAAAAGCAATTCATCTCTGCGTCTCTAAGGAAAGAATTTCACAAAGTTCTCCCATTTAATTAAACAGTCCAATATGTCAGATGGTAGGAATTAATATTGGTAGCGGGTCTTTTGATCGCGATAAGAAATGAGAGACTCTCCCCCATTGATGTGTGTCTTCTTATTTTCGCGCAGTCATTGTTACCACATACGGCTTTGGAGGATGCTAAGTAACTAGGAAACGTCTGACGAATGAAAAGACTAACTGTATATGCATGTTACCTTGATCAATGATAATATTATAAATAAATGGTAACAGTGTATAAAACAAAGGAGTAATTATAGTTATAAATTAGTGCGTGTACTTAGTTTTTTTTTAGAGAAGAGGATTGATGGAAGGTGAAAAAAACCAGCCATGTAATTTCTATTGCTGTAAATCTCGTTTTAATTCTGTTTTTTGATGTTCAAGTTTTTCCTCATTTTTCTGTGGGATTCATACCGATTGGCTCGTCGGTATGGCAGCAATGTATGGCTTTTAATCAACAGGTCGTGAGTTGGATTCCAACTGGGTCCAACATTTACTAATTAATGTATAATTTTTCTAAACAAGAATATCCGAATTTCTAAATACAATATAGGTTGATAGCGCATCATTCTTAGACGTCATTACATGTTTTTGTTCTGTTTCTGTCCTCTACCATAAGAAAAAAAAACACAGACTTCACATGAGTTTAATCACGGAGCTATCAAAGCTGTCAAACGAAAGAAAGAAATAATTAAACTTACAAAAGACGTCACCGAGAGATTGATAGAATAAAAAGGTAATATACTAAATAAGAAATATTTATCTTAGAAATAGTACAGTTCTCTATATCACATTATTACAAATAAAATGACCAAGATTTCCTTGGCGAACGGCAGAATTTATCGCGATAGCTTTCTATTAGGAACTATTTCTTTGATTTATCAACACACAATTTTCTGGAAAAGTAATTATCTTTTACCTTTGTTTTTGATTAGTGAAAGAAAACATTGGGAAGAAAGCAATATGTTCTGGTACCTTCATCTCCGGCATCTTTCATGTGCATAAAGAAGTATAAAACCTGAGATTAGGCAGTGAAGAATATTAAAGGAATTACGTTAGCAATGAAATATATATATTATATTAATATATATGGCGTCATACAGGGTTGTTAGTCTAATGATAGTAATATAAGGCTAATAACGAACGGGTCGTGGGTACGATGTCTACAATATTTTTAACATCAATTTACAATTTTTCTGAAACATGTAGGATTTCATCTGTAAATCTGGATATTGAATGGGTGGTAGGAAAATCGAAATTCCGTCCGGGTCACGAACCACTAGCTTTAGATGAAAACCCGTGAAGCGTAATCAAGTTTCACTTTCAATCTGTGGATTTCTGAATATCCACAGTCAAAATAGATCGACAGAACATCTTGCAGAGATTGCTAGGCTACATCGTCTTCCATAAACTTCGAACTTTATGTTTGTCTGTCTTACTGTATCAAAAAACCAAATAAAATATTGGCTATTTGTGTATGCCTTAAGAAATAGAGTAAAGAATAGCGAAAGAATTTATTTACGTCAAAGAAACAACGCCGTGAAATTGTTCCGAAATCTTTCGGAAAACTTTCTATCACCGCTTAGCTCAATGACTGAAGGGAAATATTCTTTAAACTGCGTCATAATAGCGAAACTTGCGTCATTTTCCACATCAGAAAACTCATTAAAGACCGTTAGACTGAAGTCATTCTAAGTGCTGCTGTTCGAGGTTATGAGCAGAGCGGACCGAAATTGCGTTCAATTAGGAAGACTTTACGAAGAAGATTCGTTAATACTATTAGAAATATATGTATATTTTATCTGGTTTAATCGCTTTGAAAAAGGCTTTTACATGTCACCTATTTAAAAGGACTTGAACCTGCATCGTCAGTATTCCGTGCTGTTGCTCTATCAATTGAGCTACGCAGTCCTAATT